ACAATGATTTATGTGACTGAGAATGGTGTTGATGCTCCAGGTGAAAGCTCAATGCCAATTAGTCAAGCTTTGAACGACACTTTTAGAGTTAACTATTTACATGACTATCTCACAGAGGTATCCAATGCAGTGATGCAAGATGGTGTTAATGTTAAGGCCTACTTTGTTTGGTCAATGATGGATAACTTTGAATGGACCAATGGTTATAGTTGTCGTTTTGGTGTTGTCTTTGTTGACTATAATAGTCCTAATCTTACAAGATATGTCAAGAACTCTGCCAAGTGGTACAGTGAATTGGTTAAACCATACAACTAGATCAATAAACAACACTAAAGGATTGTAAAGTGGTTTTATTTCATCATTCACTTATGGAAGTTATTCATAAAGATTTATGTCCTTTAAGGCAGGTTCCAAGGTTGATTTAAATATGAAGAATGCTTGAACTATTCAAAATTGAGAAAGAAAACCGCAGGATGGAATGAATGGGAATTTTGCTCAAATGTAGCCAGATACTACTATTCAATATATCATTCCTTTTTTACTCCTTCTCTTTTAGTAACTAATACTTTCTGATTATTGGGTATATGCAGATTTGAATAAACCAATTGGGATGGATCACTCAAAAACCAACCATTTATCTGCTCTGCCAATTTACAATTATGAGTTTTAAATATTTTGGCAGTCATTGGAATAATTAATTGTTTTGTCCAATCTGGATCTCCTTCATTGACCATGAATGGCTCCTGTGAATTGGTTTTGAAAATAATTCCCTCACTTATTGATCCTTGTCCTCTCTAATATATTTGAGATGAGAGAAATAAATTACTTTCCACATTTCACAAAGCTACAGAGTAAACTTACCTCACAATCGAAAGGTTTCACCATGCTCAATCTCTTATAAATTTTCACACATTCTCCATATTGAATAGTCGAAGCAAGAATTAAAGTGTTATCAAAATAAACATCAGGTTGATTGAGATATAAAACAGTCCTATCCTTCAAATATTCATTGCAATATTTCAAGAATATTGATCTATTAATCTCTTTTCCAATGTGGCGAATTTTAATCTTATTCGAAAATAATAATGACATGATATCTGAATCTAAACTATTGTCAATTTGAAGTAAATGATATTCCGAAACTGATGGATTCAATAAATTCATCTGTATGCTCGTTAATAAATCAAGGAAAAACACATTATCTTTATCCGAAAGTCCAACAATTAATTGTGAAACAATCACAACATTCGGTAATTCACTAATTTCATCATTTCTAATTAATTTCACAAATTCCAATTGTTGTTTTTGTGCTATTTTCATAAAATCACCATATTCATTCGAATTATATAGCCTTTGTCTTGAAAATGGCAC